CATAGAAGGAATATACCTTAACATGGTAAAGTCGTATATTATGGACCCATAGCTAACATCATACTCAGTAGTCAAAATCTGAAAGCTTTTCTATTCAGATCAGAAACAAGGCAAAAATGCATTCCTTCTTAACTTTGTACTGGAAGTCCTAGCCAGAATTAGGCAAGAAAACCAGATAAAAGGCATAATATCAAAGAGGGAGAAGCAAAGCTGTTTCTGTTTGCGTATGACATGATCTTATGTATAGAAGACCCTAAAGACTTCATAAATAAAACTGTTAGAACCAATCAATGAATTCATTTGCAGCATATGCAATCAACATAGGAAAATCAGTTGTATTTCTGTATACTAACAGTGAAATATTTGAAAGAAAAATAAAGAAAACATTCCCACTCATAATAGCATCAAAAACAATATAATACTTAGGAATAAATTTACTCAAGGAGGTGAAAAATCTGTACACCGAAAATGGTAAGATATTGATGAAAGAAACTGAAGACACAAAGAAAGAAGTACAAAATCAGAACCACAGACACACCTGTTATTTTTGTGAAAAAGACAAAAGACACTAAGTGTTGGTGAGGATGTGGAGAGAAGGAAACCATATTGAGTAGGAATGTAAGTTGGTATAAATGTCATGGAGAACAGTATGGAGTTTCTTAAAAAATTAAAAACAGAACTGCCATGTGATCAAGCAGTTCCACTGCTGGGTGTTTATCCAGAGGAAATGAAATCACTGTCTTGCAGAGATGTCTGCACCCCCATGTTCATTCTAGCACTTTTCACAATAATTAAGACATGGAAACCTAGGTGTCCACCAGCAGATTAGCAGATAAAGAACATGTGGGCAATTCTCTCTCTCTCTCTCTTTCTCTCTCTCTCTCTCTCTCTCACTCACACACACACACACACACACACACACACACACACACACACACACAATCACACAGCTACACACTGGAATGTTATTCAGCCATAGGAAAAGAAGGGGATCCTTCCATCTGTGACAAGGTGGAGGGACTTCAAGGGCATTATGCTAAGTGAAATAAGCCTGAAAAAGAGAAATACTTTATGCTCTCACCTATATTGGTATCCAAACAATGTCAGATTCATAGAAACAGAGTAGGGTGGTGATTGCCGTAGACTTGGAGGTGGGGAATGAGGAGATACTGGTCGAAGGGCACAAACTTCGAGTTACAGAATGAGGAAGTTCTGGGATCTAACATTCATCAGGGCAACTATAGTTAATAATGTTGTACTTTCTAAAAGTTGCTAAGAGAGTAGATCTTAAGTGTTCTCACTATAAAAAATGTAATGATGTGAGGTGATGGATGTGTTAACTATCTTCGTCGTAATAACTTCACCATACATTTGTGTGTCTAGCTGTCATATTGCATACCTTAATTTACACAATGCCATGTCAGCTTAATCTCATTAAATCTGGAAAAAAATTAAAGTAAAAAAAAAAAAAGAACATAGTACCACCTATAGTTTTGCCAAAGGATAAAATTTGAGTCTGATCAAGCCTCTGTATCTAGCAGTGGATTTGCAGGAAATAGTGAGGATAGAGGAACAAGTTGAACTGCCCCATGAGACTGCAGATGACCAAAACCACACCCCAGGAACCTCTGCAGGTCAAGTGGCCCCCGTTTTCTTCACTGGATAAATTAAAAGGAAAAGAATGAAGAGGGAACTTGCCAATGAAAATAACTTAAAGACATCAGTTTTTAAAACTGAGCACAACCAAAGAATAGTATTAGGATGGATACTTTGAGTGATAAAAATACAAAGATGTATCAGGAAGTGATTACAATAAAAGTCACATAAGCGGTTACTTTTCGGGGAAGGAAAGTGTCGTGATTGGAGAGTGATACAAAGAGGGAAGTTTTGGGTGGATGGCAAGGCTGTGTATCTTGACCTGAGTGGTGGGTGCAAGGATGTTCACTTAATAATGACGCATTGACATGTGCATTTATTTTGTGTGATTTTTATGTATCTGTGTTTTGCTGCGTAATAAAAAGTTAAAATACATTAAAGAAATGTTTAAAGAAAATAGTGCATACTATATCTTACTTGATGATATTCATATTGTTGAGTAGATAATTGTAAATTCTGAGAACTTTGCCATAAATATACCTGTTTTCTTTGTTTAAACCCTCCTGCCCCCATTCACACACTGAAAGCCAAATAATAGAATGCTTAGGTTATACTGGAAGGTACTAGATGAAATATCTTATTGCTTCAAGGAGGAGTTTATTCTGACAACAACCCCTATACTAAGTTAAGTACCTCTCCAGAAATTTTAACGTTAATTATACGCCGTGTCCCTGAGATGTGATTTCAGCCATACATGGTCCCCCTGGAGGCCTTTGCCTAGCTGGAGCTGGGTCTCCCTTCCTTCCTCTCTACCAGCGGTCTTGTCATGATTCCTGTTAAACATCAGAAGGGGATGAAATATCTCTGTTCTTGCAGCGAATATTTTGTTTGGCTTGGCCAAGATCATGTAAGTGTTATAATCTACACCATGTGGATATAGTGGAGGTATATGCAGAGGATCCAGAGTCTGGAGCCATCTCTATGGGGCTGTAGACATGGTCAGGGTGGGCTGCTGCTGAAGTAGCCCGGAAGGTACCTGTGTGTAGCATACCTGCTGGACCGTCACTGTCAGTCTTTGTGGGACTGAGATATGTGTTGTTCAATGAACACTGCTGACTCTGAACTCCAGGGGCTTGAGTGCCTTCAGCTTGGTGCGCTGTACAACTCCTGGATATGTTTGTGGCCTTTTATGCTCAGAAATGCTGTCCAGGTCACTTTTCCCCCAGCCCTCTGCAGAGATTTCCTGTCACCATTCCTGTGATGGTTAATTTTACCTGTCAAATTGAGCTGGCTAAGGGATGCCTGGATAAAACATCATTTTCGCATGAATCTGTGTAGGTGTTTCTAGAGGAGATTAGTGTTTCAACTGGATGGCTGGGCATCATTCAGTCTGTTGAGTGCCAGGATTGAAGAAAATGGTAGAGGAGGGGAGAATTCACCCTCAGTTTGTGCTGGAACATCCATCTTCTCCTGCCCTTGAACATTGGTGCCCCCAGTTGTCAGGCTATTGGGTTTGGACTGGAATTATCATACTAGCTCCCTAGGTCTCCAGCTTTCAGACTGTAGCTAATGGGACTTCTCAACCTCCATAATTGGATCCAATTTCTCATAATAAATCTCTTTCTATATATATATATGTGTGCATATATATATATTCTGTTAGTTCTGTTTCTCTGGAGAATCCTGACTAACATAATTCCCTCACCTCAGGAATGCAGTGAAGTAAAATTAATTGTAAATCCTTGTTCCAGGGACTTGAGGATACTCAATTTTTATAACTACTCAGTAACTGTTTAGTTATAAGCATTAGCAGCAGACAGTTCCCTTGCAATCAGGAAGATGGTATCTAGTGGTGTGTTATTCAATAATACATATGCTTATGTTTTCTTTGAATTTTTTTGCTTTTCTTTTAAAGTGTATGCCTTTTTAATTTTTAAAGAGATGTGATTGTTGCAGAAAAGCTTGAAAAGTAAAAAAAAATTTCTATATTTTTACCACTGTAATAGAATTATGGTTATTATCTTTGTGTATTTTTCTGGTCTACTTTGGTATGAGTATTTTTTCATAGTTGTAATAAAAACATGCACATAATTGTTTTTCATTCTAGACTTAGCTTCAGGCAATAATGACATAATCATATACATATCTCTGTGTTGCACTGTTATCACAACAGTAATTTTTTACAGCATTAAATTTCATCGACTCTATTATATTTTTTTAACTGTTAACCTGGTTTTGGTTGGTATATTTCCCCTCACATTTGAGTAAATATAGTTTTGTATAAAATGTAGTATTATGCACATTGCTTTTTGGTTATTGTTGCTCTGAATATTTAAAATAGAATATTAACAAGAATCAAGAATTTCAGTAAACTCCTATCTAATTTTTCTTTCAGCTATGCCATCGAGTCTAACAAATCTAGCAATTGTAGTAGGATGCATATGTTAAATTTGCCAATTGATGTCGCACCTGAGATCTTAATTATATATGATGTAACAGCGCCATATAGAACTTGAGTGAGGCAGTGATTTTTTTCACATCTAGGAAGTAGCCACAGAATAGCAGTTGTGAGCAGTTAGAAACTCATGGTAGAAGATGAGGGCTTTTTGGAGCCCAGGGAAATGCAAGTCCTCATTTTCTACCTGTGTAAGGATGTGTGTTCTCGGGAGATGGGTCTTAGTTTCCACATGTTCAGAGGGATGCGGTAACTGCTGCCGTGAGCTCCATGGTTGCAAGTTGAGTGACATGCTGTTCTTGTGACTTTGTTGTTGTTCCCGCCTTCCCTGCATTTCTCCTCTTTTCCATTCATTAGGATCAGCAATAGAACTCAGAAAAAATGTTCTTGTGGGGGGGGCAGTGACATGAAAATTTATAATGACTTAAAAATTTAAAAAAACTGACTATATATGTGAAATTGTTAATTGAATACTTTGTCAGTCTGTGTTGATTTGGGGAAGTTTCCCCATTTAAATTGGTATTTTAGTGTTACCTTTCCTCGTTAGAAATTTTTTCAAAATTGTGATGTGGATGCTGATTGTTAAATAAATTTCTACTATTAATACAAGTTACTATATTTTGACAAGTCCATAATGAATAAAGTGTGGAAATAATTGATCAAATGTAGTTATCCTTTTGCTATGTTATTTGGGAAAGTGTAGCTTTACTAACTTCATTAAATGGTAAGGCTTTTTATGTTTTTGCACAACTAAAGCAAAGAGTCTATGCAAATACTCTTAAATAAAACTATTTTTAAATGTTAGATACTCTACTTTAAGAGATAAAATCTTAGTGATTTTTGATTACCAAATGACAGGAGCAACTTTTCTTGTGTAACAGAGCTTATACAATGCAATGGCTATCTTACTTTTGATAAAGGACTGATCAGCATCTTATGTTTTTCTTAGGAATGGGCTGTTTCTGGGGAGCTGAGAGGAAATTCTGGACCCTGGGAGGAGTATATTCAACTCAAGTTGGTTATGCAGGAGGCTACACTTCCAATCCTACTTATGAAGAAGTCTGCTCAGGTAGGAAGAGTTTGTTCCATCATTTTATGAGGAGGAAGAAGTCAGGGCTTGTTCCTGCTAGTAGGTAATTGGATCTTTAAAATGGAAATATAATTTTCTTGTTTTCTCAGTTTTCCCTTTCTCATTTCTGTAAACAGACTTGTTGGCTTCTCATTTTATATTTTCAGGAGATAATAAGCTTCCTATGGAATGTATAATTTAGCTTTTGCTGCAGAACAGTCACCCCAAAACTTAGTCATTAAAGTGATCATTGATTGGCTTATGATTCAGCAATTTAGGCTGTGCTCAGCATGGTGGTTCTTCTGCAGGTCTCATCTAGACTCATCCGTGGGACTCCAGTCAACTAAGGGGTTGCCTGGGGGCCAGTTGGTTTAGGATGGCTTCACCTATATGTCTGGGAACTGTGCTGGCTGTTGGGTTAGTGTTTGGTGTTATCTGGGATAATGGGAATGATGAACATGTGTCATTGGCAGGCTGGCCTGGGTAATTCACATGGTGGTGGCTACAGAGATTCCAGGACCAGTAAGAGAGGACAAGCCTCATTCTGCCAGCACTTTTCAAGCCTCTTTTGGTATCACATTTGCTGTTGTCCCATTGGCCAAACCAAGTCATAGTGTCTAGTGTAGAGTCAATATGGGAGGGTCTCCCAGAGGCACGTGTACAGGGAGGTGTGAAGAAACTGGGACTGTTACTGCAGCAGTTTACTACATGGGACCAAATAAGTCGTGTATCAGGCATGTTTTCTTGAGGGAACACTGTGTGAAGGCTGGCCATAAAGAAGGGATTGGCAAACTAGGCTCAAAGTCTAAGTCCTTCCTGCTGCCTTTTATAGAAACAGTTTTATTGAAACATGGCCACACCCATTTATTTTTATATTATCTGTGAATGCTTTCATGCCAAAATGGCAGAGTTGAGTGGATGCAACAGTCTTTATACCCTGAAAAACCTAAAATATGTATAATCTGTCTCTTTTTTTTTTTTACAAAGATTTTATTTATTTATCTTTAGAGGGGAAGGAAGGAGAGAGGGAGAGAAACATCAATGTATGGTTGCCTTTTGTGTGTCCCCTGCTGGGAACTGGCCTGCAGGGAACCAGCCTGCAACCCAGGCATGTGCCCTGACTGGGAATAATCTGTCTCTTTATAGAAAAAAAATTTGTTGATCGAGATAGGCAGATGCCCCATGGCAAATTCTAGCTGGAATACCAGACACCCTCTATGGATTTGTTCTCTGTTTCTGGCCTTCAGTGATTTATTTCCTTTACTTTTCTGCCAGCCCAGTTGCCATTTAAAACACATTTTTTTTCTTTTCCATTGTTTTCACTTTAAAAATAAAAATTGTATATATTTACAGTGGTGTTTTATACAGTGAAATGATTACTACAGTCAAGCCAATCAACACTTCTGTCTCCCTGCATACTGTTTTTGTGGTGAGAGCGCCTGCGATTTCCCCTGTGAGCAAATTTCAGATGTGCAATCCTGTATCATTAACTGGAGTCTGCATGCTGCACATTAGCCGTCTAGAACTGATTCCTCCTACACAACTGGAAGTTTCTGTCCTTTGACCAGCATATCCTCATTCCCCTCTCCCACCCCTGGGAGCTGCCATTCTGCTCTCTGCCTCTCTGAGTTGGAGTTCTTTAGATTCCACATATACCTCACATCATGCAGCACTTTATTTATTTATTTTTTGTGTGTGCCTGCCGTATTTCACTTAGTGTGAGTGACCTCCAGGTTTATCCATGTTGTTGCAAAGGCAGCATTTCCTTCATTTTGAAGGCTGAATAGTATTCTATTTATATGTGTGTGTGTGTGTGTGTGTCTGTGTATATGTATGTATGTATGTATAAAATAGTATTCTATTTTATACATATATATGTATAAAATATATCAATTTCTTTATCTGTTCATCTGTTGACAACCACCTGGGCTGTTTGCCTATCTTGCTGAGCGCAGTGGCTGCGGTGAGTGTGGGGTGCAGGTATCTGTTCGAGGTATTGCTTTCATTGTCTGTGGGTATGTACCCAGAAGAGGGATTGCTGGGCTACGTGATAATTCTATTTTTAGTTTTTTGAGGAATATTTATACTGTAAAACACATTTTTAAAGATTATTTTATTCACCATCTTAAGAGTTCTTAATAGGAAAGGTTTATCTAGATATATAGTCCTCCATATTGACAGAAATGAGGTCTCTAAAATGCAGAAAAAGTTCTATCTTTTAAAAATAAAGGTTTGAAATTTTTTTTGGTGGGGGGAGAACCCTTTCAGCTCTCTGAGGACATGGTGAATGAAGAGGGGAAGGAGTTGGAAGAGGGAGTCTGTTCAATGATGAGCATATTGAATGTTTTCTACAACCTGAATTCTGATTTTGAAATGAAATTTGAGCTCTGCAACAGTGGAAATATTATAAAAATACATGTTCTTGTTTTCTTGCCTCTAGAGAATTGAAATATTTTGATTGCTGTTGAAAATGTGGAATATTGAACAAATAATTTAATGGTTAATCCATTTTCCTTGCTTCTGTTTCAAAATTAAACAAATGCTTATGCAGAGCTATAAATAGAGAGATTTAGATGAACCCTGGAGATTTCCCGAGTATATCCTCTTAAGTCTCAGGAATGGAAATGAATAGATTCCTCCCCATAATTGCAGATATGACTTAGAGAAAAGGTTGCTCAGAAAATCGTCAAAGATCTACTGCTTATACTATTATTTTCCAGTAGCAAATGTTAATAACCAATTAGATCATTGTGATTGTTTGTTTGCTCAGACGTATCCCAATTCCACTCTTCACCTTCACAATGATGACATGATAATTCCCCTTTGTTGAATTCCTACTATGTGCCAGACACTGTAATGAGCACTTTTTGTACCTTTGCTTTTTGACCATCTAATCCTCCAAACAGCCCCACGGAGTGTCTCAGTCACCATCTTTTTTTTTTTTTTTTATCATCTTTAGAGGGAAAGGGAAGGAGAGAGGGAGAGAAGCATCAATGTATGGTTGCCTTTTGTGCATCCCCTGCTGGGAACTGGCCTGCAGGGAACCAGCCTGCAACCCAGGAATATGCCCTGACTGGGCATCGAACCGCGATTGTCTGGTTTGCAGGCCCGCGCTCAATCCACTGAGCTACACCAGCCAGGGCTCAGTCACCATCTTTCACGGAGGGAATGTTGGGGCTCAGCGAGGAAAAAGTCACTTGTCCAAGGTCACAGAGCAGGAATGCCAGCCTCATTAGCTCTGAGCTCAAAGTTTAGGCCATTGACTGTGGTGTAAGTTGCCCAGCTGTCATTATGCCCCAGTGATTCTCCATTCGCCTCATCACACATCCTCCACCAAATCACATGCTCTTTTTCAAGTCTGTGTCTCTAGTGTACTTTTTAGTATACTGGTGTGTTTTTTAATGATTACTGTGAGGAAAACCCTTTTAAGATACAGTTCACGCAAACAGCTGGTGAAGTACAGACACCATGAAGCTTGGTAAAGACTGTCTATTTGATGTGAACATTGAGTTATCGGTGGCATCAGGAAGCATGGTTGTCATGGAAACTTTTTCCTGGTTGGGAAAACATAGTTATAAGGTCTTACCTGGACACAGAAGGATAGATGATTTCTTTCCCTGGGCTTTTTGTTGTTGTTGTTGTTGTTGTTTTGTTCTGACCATGAAAAGGAAAAACAAAACAAGCAGAGAGAAGCTGTGATAGAAAGGTCTCTTGAGCACAGAAGTGGTAGAGTCTTCACATCCCTGGGAGTAGCAGGCAGGACAATAAGTAAGGTCTCCAGCTAGAGTAATTACGGTAGCTAGCTAATTAAAGACTTCGGACCAGGATGAGGATGGGGAAGACAAAAACGAGTTATACAGGTGGGGCTTCCCCACTGAAGCCTCAGGTGCTCGCCACCTCGTTGAACAAGTCAGCCCTGGAGGGGTTTGACTTCTAAGGGAGAAAACCCAAGCCTTCACTGAGATGCACAGTAATTGCTGAGGTTTCGTGTAAGAGAAATTCCAGTCTGTGCTCCAATGTTAGAGTTAATTTTAAAATTGCTTACTTTTACATTTGTAATTCAGTCTGTAAAACTTTGGTCACAACCCGGGAATCTTTGTAAAAGTATGTATGTATGTATGTATATGTTAATTTGTTAATTTATTAATGCATGCAGGAAAAGAACCCTGAGGACCTGGATTGTTTGCCGGATCCTTCCTCTTATCAGCTTAGTTGAGTTGAAGGTACCATTTGGTTTCTTGGGGCAAGTGTCAGAAGTAGCGGAGTAGCACTCAGAAGGGCGTTCTCAAAGTCCATCAGGCAAGCTTTATCATTGCCTCCCTCCCCATCGCCAACCCATGACATGATGACAAAAGTCAGAGCTTCTCTAAGCATTGCCTGGGGACACCGATCAGTGTTACAAGCATGGAGTCAGAACGTTGGCTATGGTTCATCGTGCCCACTTGCTAGTGGGTGTGTATCACCTCAGGGGATGAATGAATGTGCCAGTGTGTATGTGAGTGTAAAAGTGTGTTTTAAGACAGGATGCATATTAACATCCGAATGGTTTTTCTCTGTGGCTATTGACGGGCCTGTGATTCTGAAACCTGAGCTGGAGTTGCTATTAGGCACATAGAAAAGATACACAGTTTCTCACAGAGCCCCATGGTGATGCATGGGTAGGGCTGACTCTGACATGTAAGCAGAACATTTATGAATGGTTCACCAGTGGGTCTGTTCCATGTTGGGTGATCTGGGTGGGACTTGAGCCTAACATATGTAGAAAATACAAGGAGACAACGGTAACTCAAGAATTTGCAATAAAGTTGCCCTTTGGGAATGAAAGTATAAAGTAAGCCTATGATGATTCAGAGTTGGCAAAAGCGGTCACTTAGAAGAGAGCTTGGCTTCCAGCTCTGTAAGGCTTCCAAGTTAACCTGATGGAGTGCCCTGAAAAGGGAAAGGAAAAACTAGGAGCTCAGAAGGGAGGCCAGGCCAGTCTGGGAAAGGGGAGGTCCTGA